TTTCAGGGGGCGTTCCTCCTTCCATGCTGTGTCTGCTCTGATCTCACATGACCCCTGCCAAGCAAATGAGACCCAGACCCTTGACCTGACTCACTCGATATCTGTGGCTCCCATCACAGCCCGGCTCCTCCCATATTGACATACAGGTGAGTGATATGTGACTTACTCGTCTCCCTGAATGGACTGCAGCTTCCAGTAGAGCAGTTGGGTTTGCTTGCTATCAGAGGCTAACTCCCAGAAAGACTTGTGAATGATCATAGAAGTGAACTATTGAATGGGATGGGTCAGTTGGATAAGTGAGTAGATGGTTACATGAGTGTGTGTATATGTGTGTGTATTGTCAGACTGATGGCCAGGTTGGCCCTGCTGCTTCAACCTACCTACAGATGCCTTGTCCAGAGGTCATAGATCTTCTCATGGGCCTCTTCATGGAGCCTCTTTGCCTCCGCATGCGACTCTTGTAGTAAAATCTGCTCCCCCTGCAGCTTTTTCTTGTCCTCTAGCAACATTCTCACTTTTTCCTTCAGCTGAGTCTGTTCACTCAGATGCTGACTGTAGAGGGTGCTGAAATATCACAAGAAATGATGAGCTCCACCTCCATCTGCCAACCCTGCCTGGTATACCATGATTCCTGCAAGGTCCCATGTCCCCATCCCCAAAAGCCCTGGGCTGGAGCCCTCATTGTCCATGCCAGAATCACTCAGGTGCAGGCCAAAGCCAGAGAATAGCCAAATTCCAGAAAGATTTATACTACTTCTGAAGACCCTGACAGCAAAACGGATCCATGTACTTTTGAAGATTGGATCTGCTACCTCACGAACACACATCCTGGTACTTAACTGTTCACAGTATTGGGAAAACAAGCAGGTAGAGGGAAACCATGCTCTGAGGAAGACAGAAGACCTATCTGGAATATATTCCACCCATGTGTCCCATAGAAACCAGCTGTCTAAGCTCCTGTCAGAGCCACAGAAGCCATGGTGCAAACTATATTTTCTGTCTAGAAGTTCCAGAAGCTGACAGGAAAATGTTGGGAGGGGCTCTCAACTTTTAACACTTAGGAGAACTCAGTCTAGGAGGCACAAGTCCAAGAGCTATAAGGCAGGCTGCTTGCTAAGAGGTAAACAGACAAGAACCACAGCCCTCACTTTGGTTTAAAGGTGGAGAAGGGAAGAAGATGCTGTAGGATGTCTTTCTCTATGCCGTGAATAGGTATTGCTTCCATTGGTTAATAAATAACCTGCTTTGTCCTATGGCAAGGCAGGAAGGAGCAAGGCAGGAAAACCCAGGAGAGACAGAGAAGAAAGGCAGAGGTGGAGGAGATGCCAGCTGCCACCCAAGGAGCAACATGCCAGCAGCTTGGCAATGTAGCAGCCATATGGGAAAACACAGATGAATAAATTGGGTTAATTTAAGATGATAGAGCTAGCTAGCCTGAAACTTAAGCCATTGGCCATAGAGTTTGTAAGTAATGTGAGCCTCTGTGTGTTTATTGGGGCCATTTGGCTGAAGGAGGCAGGAGGGACGGATTCCTCCTGACAGCGGGGTCGGGCAGGACTGGAGAAACTTCAGACAACAAGAAGCAGTCCTTACCAAGTTCTGGAGTCCACCCAAGTCAGGCACTCACCAGTAGATTTTGGTCTTCTCACTCAGCTCTATGCACTTGTACAAGGCCTCACTAATCTCCTTGGGTAATTTCTTCACATCTGACATATCCTTCTTATGCTCTGTGTTCTGCATCTCATGCTCCGAATTCAGCCTTTGGTAGGGCATAGCCCCAGGAACAAAGAACCCTGTGATCATAGGCCTCAGGGACCCCATGAATTAAGGTTGTATTTTGCACTACCCTAGCCTACTGGATGTCACACACTGAATCCTATGTACTGGGAACTCCTGATGTGCATTAGACTTGCTACCCTGCCCCAGGGCCAGGAGAGGCTGGGTGTCAACAGGGAGGG